CTTTCTCAAAAATTATAAGCACATTATATTAGAGAAACAATATATTAAATAATATTCTTAAATGAATACAAATATTTTTTAAATAAAATCATAGATACAATATGAATATAACAACATCAAATAGAAATAACATAAATTATTATATCATGAATATATTGGCCTAGGCCCCGAGCTTTTTCTGATATCAAAATCAAGCAACAGCCTTATGGTCTTGATCAACGACACCATCTGGAACAAACTTTGTCCAAAACCAATGAGACTTCCACACTTTATTCATTTCTTCAATTGGGATATTATTTGTCTCGGGAAAAAATATGACAATGAAAATTGTCATTATAAGAACAAAGCCAGCAAAGAAGAAGAAAAGTCCAAACTTCAAGTGACAAAGCATAGTAAGAAAAACTTGAGCAATGAAAAAGGTGAACAACATGTTCACAGCAACATTGGTAGCTTGACCTGCAGAGCGAACCTCAAGAGAGCATATTTCACTAGGAACTAACCATCCCAATGGACCCCAAGACCATGCAAATGCGGAAACATACAAACATATGAAGAACAAAAGAAGATTAGCTTCAATATGTGTAAATGAGCCTTCACCGCTAACTCCAAACTTGATAGCAATCATGCTTCCAACAATAATCTACAATCAATAATCATAACATTTATATTATCTATTCTTGGAAAATGGATTAATTTTAATGGTAAATATAAAGAATTAATTATTATTTAAGTTTCAATTTTCACCTGACAAATAAACATTTGGACACCACCTTCAAGAAACAAAATCTTTCTTCCAAACTTGTCCACAGTGAAGATGGAAACAAAAGTAGCAAGAACATTGACACCTCCGGTAATTACTGCAGACATGAGGGAAGCATTGTTTCCAAAGCCCAAAGTTTTGAAAAGGACAGGGGCATAAAACATGATAACATTGATGCCTGTGAGTTGCTGGAAGAATGGAATAAGAGAGCAAAATGTTAGTTGAGGTCTGTATCTCAATTGTGTAATATTCTTCCACGGATGTTCCACCTTTTTGGCTTCCTCACTAGCATCAATTAGATCTTGGAACTCCTCATCGACATTATCAATGCCACGAATCTTTTGCAACATTTTCTTAGCTCCTTCTTTTTTCCCCCTTTCAATCATAGAGTTTGGCGTGTCACCTAAGAAAAAAGATCCTATACACAACAGAATTGCAGGGACAGCTCCGATACCCAAAGAAATTCTCCATCCACTCTCAAGATTAGAAGTAAAGTAGTTGATAATGTTTGCCCCTAGGATTCCAATAGTGATCATCATTTGGAAGCCCATGTTGAGCGCACCTCTAATCTTTGCTGGAGCCATTTCAGACAAATACACTGGAACTGACTGTTTATGAGTAACAAAAAATGATATGCAATTAGACTTGCGATTTTTTATCCTTTATACATAAAAACATAAAAGCATAAAAACAATACTGGATTTTACCTGATTACAATATCCTACACCAAAACCAAGTAATAGGCGACCAATGATAAGCATTTCAATGTTGACAGCAAAACCATTGAGCAATGCACCAATAAGGAAAAACAAGCCACCTGCAAACATTGAGGCCTTGCGTCCTAACATTCTTGTAGTTGTGGAAGCAAAGAAAGAAGCTATTAAAGCAGCAAGGTACAAGGAAGATGTGAACAAAGTAAGGAGCTCGTTGTCAAATTTGCAATATTGGCTCTCGTGTCCAGATTCATCTTTCATTTATTTGTAAACACCAGGAAAGAATTTAACCAAAAATGGTTCCATGGAAGTCACTCCTCCTGTAATACCAAGATCATAACCAAAAAGTAGACCCCCCATGGCCGCCACCAAACATGTGACCAAAACAAACATTGTAACCTTTCCTTCATATTGCCTTCCATTTGTTGAAGCAACTAAAACTCCACCCGCCATCGTTTAAATTCGTATATCTTAAAATTTAGATATTTCTAAGATGAAGACTTGTGCTGAATTTCTTTCTATACCTATTAGATGTTAAAATTCATGAATATTTTATAGTGTCATAAATTTCTAATAAGATGACAATAAGTCGTTACAAACATACAAGTTTTCAACAATATATCAATTTAGTATTTCTAATCGGTTGTATCCTTGTAATTTACCAAGTTATGAGCATTATTTTGCTAGATTTGGTGTCAACAAACTATTATAAGAATTTGGGATAAGAGATAATTCTTGTTTTTAAATATCAAACTAAATGAGATGATAAATATCGTTAAATAACTCTCAAATGACACTATATAAATCTATTTATAGTATAATGAAACAAGTAATTGAAAATTTAGTTGAATCTTATTTTATTATAAAATCAATTTGTCGTTAAGTATATAAGAGTATTTTAATGTAAATTAGTTTACTATCTCATAAATTTTAAACTTACTTTTAATTTAGTTTGTTTAAATTAATAATCAAAGATATAAATCCTTTTTTTGTGACTTAATATATGAAATCATTTTTTAAAGCCATTTTAATTTGAATCTATTTTAAAACTATTTTTCTAAAAATTATTTTTGAGATATTTCTTTTTAGAAAACTAGGTTAACTTTAATTACGATAAATTATAAGTAATGAATATTATATTACCACATGTTAAAATTACTTATTTAGTTTATTAAAAATGAGTTTAAAACAATTTATACTATTTTTCAAAAATATTCTTATAAATATTATTTTGAAAATGTGAAAATAAAACTTATTTAAAACTTAGAATGGACATTTCCATTATTCCTACAAAAATGTCTATGATTTTTTAGTTATTAAATATATTAATTGTTCAATTAATTTTTTTATATTATCTTATCATTTATAATAGTACATAATTAACTAATTTTTTTTTAGTTATTATCACTCGAGATTTTGTAGAAACCACTCAGACCCTATTTCTCCATGGTAATGTTCCACTTCGATTTTTGAGAGACGTTGTGTTAACTGCATGTTATCTTATAAATCGCATGCTATCATCTGTCCTTAACAATAAAATCCCTCATTCAATCCTTTTACCCATTCCCCCTTCACCCAATTCTCTCATGAGTCTTCGGGTCTACATGTTTTGTACACAATCTCTCTTCTGGTCTTGATAAACTATCAGCTCAATCACTAAAGTGTGCTTTTCTTGGTTATCATCGATCCAAAAAAGGTTATCGTTGCTATTCACATACCTTACAACGATACCTCATGTCGGGCAATGTCATCTTCTTCGAGTCTGTTCCATATTTCGTGTCAAGCCAAGTAACTCCGGAACCCTTTCAGAAGAGTACTCCCACACCTCTTCTGGAAGTCCCATATGTCATTATTCCCCATCATCAACCAACGTATGTCATATCTGTCCCCGAGATCGTACGTGTCCCTGAGGTCGTACATGTCTCTGAGGTCATTGTAGATCTCCTCTGACGCTCTCGCCATCATCGGATCTGATCCTACAACCTGATTCCGATCTTCTGATTGCTCTTAGAAAAGGTATACGTCAAACACGAAATCCTTCTCCATCTTATATTGATTTATGTTATCATCGTCTTTCCCCTTTTGCATTATACTTGTTTGTCTTCTTTGTCTTCTGTTTTTATTCCTATCACTCCAGGTGAATCATTATCTCACCCTGAGTGGAGGCAAGTAATGATTGATGGAATGTGTGCTCTTCAAAGCAGTGTTACCTAGGAACTAGTTCCTCTACCCCCTGGGAAATCTTTAGAAGGTTGTCGTTGGCTTTATACAATGAAAGTTAGTCCAAATGGTAAGATTGATCGATTTAAAGTTCGCTTGGTAGCCAAAGGATAAACTCAGATTTTTGGATTGGGTTATAGTGATACCTTCTCGCTTGTAGCTAAGATGGCATCTGTTAGACTTCTTCTATCCATTGCAGCCATTCGGCATTGGCCTCTTCATCAACTTGACACAAAAAATGTATTTTTACATGGTGATGTTGAAGAGGAACTATATATGGAGCAACCTCCTGGGTTTGTTGCTCAGGGGAAGTCATCGAATATGGTTTGTAGGTTACACAAGTCTCTTTATGGTCTTAAACAATCTTCGGGAGCTTGGTTTGGCTGATTCAGCACTGTAGTACAACAATTTGGTATGGTCAGTAGTGAAGTTGACCATTCCGTCTTTTATCGTCACTCAGCCCAAGGGTGTATTTATCTTATTGTGTATGTAGATGGAATTGTCATAACTATTAGAGATGACCAGGGAATACTCCAATTAAATCAATATCTCTTGAATCAATTTCAGACAAAAGATCTTGGTAAACTCCGATATTTCTTGGGTATTGAGGTAGCCCAACCTAAAGAAGGTTTGGTGATTTCTTAGCGAAAATATGATATGGATATTTTGGAAGAAACTTGTATGTTGAGAGCTAAACCAGTTGATACTCCTATGGATCCAAGTGTTAAACTACTACCCAATTAGGGGGAGCCTCTATCAGACTCGGGAAGGTATAGATTATTGGTTGGAAAGTTGAATTATCTCATAGTCAATGTCCAAACATTTCTTTTACAGTCAATGTGGTAAGTCAGTTCCTAAATTTCCCTTGTCAGAAACACATGGATGTTGTTATCCGGATTCTGAGATACATCAAATATGCTCCAGGAAAAGGTTTAGTGTATGAAGATAAATGACATACTCAGATTATTGGATACTCCGATGCTGATTGGGTAGGATCACCAATTGATAGATGACCCACCTCTGAGTATTATGTACTTGTTGGAGTAAACCTTATAACTTAGAAAAGTAAGAAACAAAATGTAGTTGCAAGATCAAGCGCCGAGACAGAGTATAGAGCTATAGTGATGGCAACATGTGAACTTTTTTGGTTAAAACAGTTGCTCAAGGAACTTAAAATTGAAGAAGCAAGACCAATGACACTTATTTGTGATAATCAAGTTCCATTTCACATTACTTAAAATCCAGTCTTTCATGGGCGGAACAAACATATTGAGATTGACTGTCACTTTGTCAGAGAGAAGATCGAGTCAGGCGACATCGCCACAAGCTTTATAAACTTGAATGATCAATTGGAAGATGTGTTTACAAAATCTCCATGAAGTCCCAGATGGAGGCTTAACCCTAGATGTATCACTATCGGGATTATGACTAATAACAATAACATAATCCCCAGAGCACCTAGCAAAAGCACCACGATCACCAACATGGTGTTCAACGTTACAAATCACAACTCCTTCAGGAATAGACCTAACCGGCAAAACATTACTAACAACAAGCGTAGCTTTCTTCCCGCAATAAATAACCTTCTCAGTGTATAATACTTCAGCAACAACAAAAAGCTCGTTCTATTTCTTATACCTAAATGGGTGATGAAAAGTGACCATGGAAAGAGGTGCACCATGACCTGGGTCGTGGATGATGTCGGTGATTACTTCCTTGAGGTAGTCGTTTCTTTCACCGAAATCGAGACTGCGGGATCTGGAGGGGCCTTTACGGTTGTGGGTGTGGGATTTGAAGATTGATCCCGCACCTTTACGTTGTACCCTGATAACCCTACCCATACAATATATGGCTTGAACATGACTTTCTAAGTTGGAGTAATCCTCACCTTACAAGTCAGTTTTGTAGGGTCGAGTTAGGCCCAATCACACATTCTAAGAATTACATTCATAACATAATAATAATTTCATACACACAAATATCCACATTACAAAAATATATGTTTATTATGTGGTATTATAGTCTATGTATAATTTGTAGTAGGTTATGTAATTGTCTTTCATAGGATAAAATTCTCATTATTGATTAAAAAATTCACATGAAAATTTCATGATAAATGTAACACCCTGAATAATATGCATCTAGAATCGTAATATTTGCAATGTTATATCTGGTATTGAGTACAAAAAAAGTCTAACTACCAATACAATGCACAACAAAAGCACAAAATAGATATCATGGTCTTCAAATTCTTTACAACAACTTTCCTTTTCCTTTGTACCACACCTACTTCTCAGAAATATTAAACATGAGGTGAGATACAACTATCTCAAATGGAGTCCTAACAAAACCATAAGTCTACTCGGCCAAAAGGTTTATAAAACTATCATCATGTTAATAATACTATACTCGAGTATTAGATAAGTAAAACAAAGAGGAAACAAAATTCATCCAGCTTCACACCAAAGATAAAAGTTTATACCCGAGCTTCCCAAGTCATGTAGAACTTAGGAGATAGTTAGCATGACAAATGTTCACTGCCTACTAGCCCTATTTATTTCTAAGATTAGTTTTCTGGAATCGGGGATGAACTGCTAATCCTTTCCACCAAATATGTGGTATTATGATACGACCTACCTCTGTTGCATGGAAACCCTTTTCACCAAATATGGCTTTACGATACTACCCACCTCAATTGTACAAAAACCATTTCCATCAAATATGGAATTTTGGTACGACCTACCTCCATTGCATGGAAAACCTCCTAATAATGAACTACATTCACGACAAGCCCTAGGAGTCTTAATGTTCAGTATACTCATTACAATTTATTCCTTTTGGAGTCAATATTATCACTACTTGTGAAACTGGAAGTGCCATCACACTTCACATTATCACTTTTCGTTAGATTCCAACATGATCCTATGGTTTCTCACTTTCTAGAGTACATCTTTGTATCCTAAGTTTCATTACTATTTTCCTATCCTTAGTTAATATTATGGTTTCTTACACTTCTTGATTTTTTTAATACTTATTCTATTATACAACAAAACGTAATTGATTAGGATTCTTAACCTAATTACCAGTGTTGTCTACCCTACATGTTCTACATGTAAATTTTAACCATACAAAAATAAAGCATACAATTTACATGTATTTTCAATCATCCTATAGATAATTCAACATAAAATATTAATTTTCACTTCACGATAAAGTATAACTTTGAATTATCCTTCTGAAACAATTTCATGTGCCTAAATAAGAGTTCTGAAACTCAACTTATGGTGGTTTCCAACATGTAATTTGTTACCGAAATGGTGTAATCAATTACATGAAGCCAATGTCTCATTTTACATTAAATATTCACCAAGAAACATACATTTAAACTTTAATCATTTACTTCTCTATCATGTGCTATATGATCTTAGATTAATTCATTAATTTCAAAACTCGCCAATCTCTCGTGAAAAGAATAATAAATAATTCAATTTGAGGATTTATAAGGCATTTAATTAGTTACCTAATGGTGTAACTGTTTACATGCCTCTACTTACTCATGTATGGTCAATTCCCCAATATGGTAACCGGGTACACCAAATACGTAACTAGTTACATGTTTGTTGTGACTTTCAAATGGGCCATTTTCACGAGTGGTAACTAGCTATACTCTATCATTAACTGGATACAAGCCTGTGCAGAACCGATTTCACTTCATTACTCACATTTTCTCCAATTCTACCAATATGCTATCATGTTCTAACATAGTATAAGGATAGGAAATATATCATAGGGGAACATGCAAGTAATCATTCACAAGGAACAAAAATGAAAGACATATTTTTCATGTATTCACACAATTCAAACATGTAATCATAGATTATAATCTCATTTTCCCCTTGCTTTGTCCCTAATGGTTCTATTCCCAATTAAGTCCTAAGAACCCCAACTTAAAACCTAAATTTTGGAGAAAGAATGGAGATGGTGGTCTACTCTTGAAGCTTTTGATCAATTCAACTTTGATTCTTATTCTACTCACTCAATTTCACACGTGCAAAATGATGGAGTCATACATTATTCTTCTTCTCCTTTTGCCCCACATGCTATTCTTTATTTTTTCTCTTAAAGCTCTCTATCAACTCGGATTTTTGAGACAATGGAATATATGGAAACTTTTTTTCTTCATTTTGACTTAGATACTAGCTTAGTGAAGTTACCAATTTTTCCTATCCATTTAAGTTAATTTACTAACTCATCTGTGTCGGCTGAATTCCCAAGACCCACTGAACCACACATGCTAAAGGCCCAATAGCACGAGGTCCATTACACAACTTACTCTGCCAGGCCCAAGGTATAAAACCTTTATAAAGGGTTTTAAGGTACATAATCTCTGAACTCCACTTTCATAACCTTCGATATTGAATCCTAAACTTACTTGGGTATTGGAATGCTAACCATACAATTACTCACTTTAGATCCACTGTATCTGAGATAACAACATTATTTCACAACAACATATCAACATTAATACCATTGGTTTAAGAAGCACCGTGATCATAACCTTTGATCCTCAGTGTCACATCAACATAGTGTATCAGAAGCTCCGATCTGCTGTACTTTTTGCAATCATCACCATTTATGTTTCCACAACAGAGAAGTGGTGCCGTCTGTGAGAATCGACTTGCGATTCCTACAATTTCCATGATTTCACATTTGATCCACATATCGGACCTCCGAAGAGATCTCTGACGAGGAAACCGAATATTCACGAAGCCAAAATCTAAGATTTGCACTATTTGGGTACACCGAACTCCGATCGGGTGTTGAAATAGAGGTTACACTAAGTTCTAGCCATCTCAAAACAGTTCCAACAGAAGCCTCGAGTCAATATCTCATATGGAAACATCCTAGCCGATGGAGAACATTAGCCTCAAGTGTTGGGGAAAGCCAGTTGGTGGACACCTTCATATCTAGATTCAGATTAGCAAATCCGAGGTGTTGTACTGCCCTCGGCCGAGAAACATCAATGATGAGATCTCGCAAAGTATGCCCTACGTTAATTTTTATAAGTTGAATACCAATAAGGTATTAAAGCTTAATTCCTTATGCAGTTAGGAATTTCCATAAGAGGAAATATTATATCATCAGCTTAGTTATAAGTCACACAAGTTATTTTATTAATTTTATAGAATTATTATGTTATTGTATGAAAACTTTATAATTAAAATATTAAATTAAGGTGAATCAACTTTCCCAAAAATTATAAGCACATTATATTAGAGAAACAATATATTAAATGATATTCTTAAATGAATACAAATATTTTTTAAATAAAATCTTAGATACAAGATGAATATAAAAACATCAAATAGAAATAACATAAATTATTATATCATGAATATATTGGCCTAGGCCCCGAGCTTTTTCTGATATCAAAATCAAGCAGCAGCCTTATGGTCTTGATCAACGACACCATCTGGAACAAACTTTGTCCAAAACCAATGAGACTTCCACACTTTATTCATTTCTTCAATTGGGACATTATTTGTCTCAGGAAAAAACATGACAATGAAAATTGTCATTATAAGAACAAAGCCAGCAAAGAAGAAGAAAAGTCCAAACTTCAAGTGACAAAGCATAGTAAGAAAAACTTGAGCAATGAAAAAGGTGAACAACATGTTCACAGCAACATTGGTAGCTTGACCTGCAGAGCGAACCTCAAGAGAGCATATTTCACTAGGAACTAACCATCCCAATGGACCCCAAGACCATGCAAATGCGGAAACATACAAACATATGAAGAACAAAAGAAGATTAGCTTCAATATGTGTAAATGAGCCTTCACCGCTAACTCCAAACTTGATAGCAATCATGCTTCCAACTATAATCTACAATCAATAATCATAACATTTATATTATCTATTCTTTGAAAATGGATTAATTTTAATGGTAAATATAAAGAATTAATTATTAGTTAAGTTTCAATTTTCACCTGACAAATAAACATTTGGACACCACCTTCAAGAAACAAAATCTTTCTTCCAAACTTGTCCACAGTGAAGATGGAAACAAAAGTAGCAAGAACATTGACACCTCCGGTAATTACTGCAGACATGAGGGAAGCATTGTTTCCAAAGCCCAAAGTTTTGAAAAGGACAGGGGCATAAAACATGATAACATTGATGCCTGTGAGTTGCTGGAAGAATGGAATAAGAGAGCAAAATGTTAGTTGAGGTCTGTATCTCAATTGTGTAATATTCTTCCACGGATGTTTCACCTTTTTGGCTTCCTCACTAGCATCAATTAGATCTTGGAACTCCTCATCGACATTATCAATGCCACGAATCTTTTGCAACATTTTCTTAGCTCCTTCTTTTTGGCCCCTTTCAATCATAGAGTTTGGCGTGTCACCTAAGAAAAAAGATCCTATACACAACAGAATTGCAGGGACAGCTCCGATACCCAAAGAAATTCTCCATCCACTCTCAAGATTAGAAGTAAAGTAGTTGATAATGTTTGCCCCTAGGATTCCAATAGTTATCATCATTTGGAAGCCCATGTTGAGCGCACCTCTAATCTTTGCTGGAGCCATTTCAGACAAATACACTGGAACTGACTGTTTATGAGTAACAAAAAATGATATGCAATTAGACTTGCGATTTTTTTATCCTTTATACATAAAAACATAAAAGCATAAAAACAATACTGGATTTTACCTGATTACAATATCCTACACCAAAACCAAGTAATAGGCGACCAATGATAAGCATTTCAATGTTGACAGCAAAACCATTGAGCAATGCACCAATAAGGAAAAACAAGCCACCTGCAAACATTGAGGCCTTGCGTCCTAACATTCTTGTAGTTGTGGAAGCAAAGAAAGAAGCTATTAAAGCAGCAAGGTACAAGGAAGATGTGAACAAAGTAAGGAGCTCGTTGTCAAATTTGCAATATTGGCTCTCGTGTCCAGATTCATCTTTCATTTGTTTGTAAACACCAGGAAAGAATTTAACCAAAAATGGTTCCATGGAAGTCACTCCTCCTGTAATACCAAGATCATAACCAAAAAGTAGACCCCCCATGGCCGCCACCAAACATGTGACCAAAACAAACATTGTAACCTTTCCTTCATATTGCCTTCCATTTGTTGAAGCAACTAAAACTCCACCCGCCATCGTTTAAATTCGTATATCTTAAAATTTAGATATTTCTAAGATGAAGACTTGTGCTGAATTTCTTTCTATACCTATTAGATGTTAAAATTTATGAATATTTTATAGTGTCATTAATTTCTAATAAGATGACAATAAGTCGTTACAAACATACAATTTTTCAACAATATATCAATTTAGTATTTCTAATCGGTTGTATCCTTGTAATTTACTAAGTTATGAGCATTATTTTGCTAGATTTGGTGTCAACAAACTATTATAAGAATTTGGGATAAGAGATAATTCTTGTTTTTAAATATCAAACTAAATGAGATGATAAATATCGTTAAATAACTCTCAAATGACACTATATAAATCTATTTATAGTATAATGAAACAAGTAATTGAAAATTTAGTTGAATCTTATTTTATTATAAAATCAATTTGTCGTTAAGTATATAAGAGTATTTTAATGTAAATTAGTTTACTATCTCTTAAATTTTAAACTTACTTTTAATTTAGTTTGTTTAAATTAATAATCAAAGATATAAATCCTTTTTTTGTGACTTAATATATGAAATCATTTTTTAAAGCCATTTTAATTTGAATCTATTTTAAAACTATTTTTCTAAAAATTTAGAAAACTAGGTTGACTTTAATTACGATAAATTATAAGTAATGAATATTATATTACCACATGTTAAAATTATTTATTTAGTTTATTAAAAATGAGTTTGAAACAATTTATACTATTTTTCAAAAGATATTCTTATAAATATTATTTTGAAAATGTGAAAATAAAACTTATTTAAAACTTAGAATGGACATTTCCATTATTCCTACAAAAATGTCTATGATTTTTTAGTTATTAAATATATTAATTGTTCAATTAATTTTTTTTTATTATCTTATCATTTATAATAGGACATAATTAACTAATTTTTTTTTTAGTTATTATCACTCGAGATTTTGTAGAAACCACTCAGACCCTATTTCTCCATGGTAATGTTCCACTTCGATTTTTGAGAGACGTTGTGTTAACTGCATGTTATCTTATAAATCGCATGCTATCATTTGTCCTTAACAATAAAATCCCTCATTCAATCCTTTTTCCCCATTCCCCCTTCACCCAATTCCTTCCTGAGTCTTCGGGTCTACATGTTTTGTACACAATCTCTCTTCTGGTCTTGATAAAGTATCAGCTCAATCACTAAAGTGTGCTTTTCTTGGTTATCATCCATCCAAAAAAGGTTATCATTGCTATTCACATACCTTACAACGATACCTCATGTCGGGCAATGTCATTTTCTTCGAGTCTGTTCCATATTTCGTGTCAAGCCAAGTAACTCCGGAACCCTTTCAGAAGAGTACTCCCACACCTCTTCTGGAAGTCCCATATGTCATTATTCCCTATCATCAACCAACGTATGTCATATCTGTCCCTGAGATCGTACGTGTCCCTGAAGTCGTACATGTCTCTGAGGTCATTGTAGATCTCCTCTGACGCTCTCGCCATTATCGGATCTGATCCTACAACCTGATTCCGATCTTCTGATTGCTCTTAGAAAAGGTATACGTCAAACACGAAATCCTTCTCCATCTTATATTGATTTATGTTATCATCGTCTTTCCCCTTTGCATTATACTTGTTTGTCTTCTTTGTCTTCTGTTTTTATTCCTATCACTCCAGGTGAATCATTATCTCACCCTGAGTGGAGGCAAGTAATGATTGATGGAATGTGTGCTCTTCAAAGCAGTGTTACCTAGGAACTAGTTCCTCTACCCCCTGGGAAATCTTTAGAAGGTTGTCGTTGGCTTTATACAGTGAAAGTTAGTCCAAATGGTAAGATTGATCGATTTAAAGTTCGCTTGGTAGCCAAAGGATAAACTCAGATTTTTGGATTGGATTATAGTGATACCTTCTCGCTTGTAGCTAAGATGGCATCTGTTAGACTTCTTCTATCCATTGCAGCCATTCGGCATTGGCCTCTTCATCAACTTGACACAAAAAATGTATTTTTACATGGTGATGTTGAAGAGGAACTATATATGGAGCAACCTCCTGGGTTTGTTTCTCAGGGGAAGTCATCAAATATGGTTTGTAGGTTACACAAGTCTCTTTATGGTCTTAAACAATCTTCGGGAGCTTGGTTTGGCCGATTCAGCACTGTAGTACAACAATTTGGTATGGTCCGTAGTGAAGCTGACCATTCCGTCTTTTATCGTCACTCAGCCCAAGGGTGTATTTATCTTATTGTGTATGTAGATGGAATTGTCATAACTATTAGAGATGACCAGGGAATACTCCAATTAAATCAATATCTCTTGAATCAATTTCAGACAAAAGATCTTGGTAAACTCCGATATTTCTTGGGTATTGAGGTAGCCCAACCTAAAGATGGTTTGGTGATTTCTTAGCGGAAATATGATATGGATATTTTGGAAGAAACTTGTATGTTGAGAGTTAAACCAGTTGATACTCCTATGGATCCAAGTGTTAAACTACTACCCAATCAGGGGGAGCCTCTATCAGACTCGGGAAGGTATAGAATATTGGTTGGAAAGTTGAATTATCTCATAGTCAATGTCTAAACATTTCTTTTACAGTCAATGTGGTAAGTCAGTTCCTAAATTTCCCTTGTCAGAAACACATGGATGTTGTTATCCGGATTCTGAGATACATCAAATATGCTCCAGGAAAAGGTTTAGTGTATGAAGATAAATGACATACTCAGATTATTGGATACTCTGATGCTGATTGGGCAGGATCACCAATTGATAGATGACCCACCTCTGAGTATTATGTACTTGTTGGAGGAAACCTTATAACTTAGAAAAGTAAGAAACAAAATGTAGTTGCAAGATCAAGCATCGAGACAGAGTATAGAGCTATAGTGATGGCAACATGTGAACTTTTTTGGTTAAAACAGTTGCTCAAGGAACTTAAAATTGAAGAAGCAAGACCAATGACACTTATTTGTGATAATCAAGTTCCATTTCACATTACTTAAAATCCAGTCTTTCATGGGCGGAACAAACATATTGAGATTGACTGTCACTTTGTCAGAGAGAAGATCGAGTCAGGCGACATCGCCACAAGCTTTATAAACTTGAATGATCAATTGGCAGATGTGTTTACAAAATCTCCATGAAGTCCCAGATGGAGGCTTAACGCTAGATGTATCACTATCGGGATTATGACTAATAACAATAACATAATCCCCAGAGCACCTAGCAAAAGCACCACGATCACCAACATGGTGTTCAACGTTACAAATCAAAGCTCCTTCAGGAATAGACCTAACCGGCAAAACATTACTAACAACAAGCGTAGCTTTCTTCCCGCAATAAATAACCTTCTCAGTGTATAATACTTCAGCAACAACAAAAAGCTCGTTCTGTTTCTTATACCTAAATGGGTGACGGAAAGTGACCATGGAAAGAGGTGCACCATGACCTGGGTCGTGGATGATGTCGGTGATTACTCCCTTGCGGTAGTCGTTTCTTTCACCGAAATCGAGACTGCGGGATCTGGAGGGGCCTTTACGGTTGTGGGTGTGGGATTTGAAGATTGATCCCGCACCTTTACGTTGTACCCTGATAACCCTACCCATACAATATATGGCTTGAACATGACTTTCTAAGTGGGAGTAATCCTCACCTTACAAGTCAGTTTTGTAGGGTCGAGTTAGGCCCAATCACACATTCTAAGAATTACATTCATAACATAATAATAATTTCATACACACAAATATCCACATTACAAAAATTTACGTTTATTATGTGGTATTATAGTCTATGTATAATTTGTAGTAGGTTATGTAATAGTCTTTCATAGGATAAAATTCTCATTATTGATTAAAAAATTCACATGAAAATTTCATGATAAATGTAACACCCTGAATAATATGCATCTAGAATCGTAATATTTGCAATGTTATATCTGGTATTGAGTACAAAAAAAGTCTAACTACCAATACAATGCACAACAAAAGCACAAAATAGATATCATGGTCTTCAAATTCTTTACAACAACTTTCCTTTTCCTTTGTACCACACCTACTTATCAGAAATATTAAACATTAGGTTAGATACAACTATCTCAAATGGAGTCCTAACAAAACCATAAGTCTACTCGGCCAAAAGGTTTATAAAACTATCATCATGTTAATAATACTATACTCGAGTATTAGATAAGTAAAACAAAGAGGAAACAAAATTCATCCAACTTCACACCAAAGATAAAAGTTTATACCCGAGCTTCCCAAGTCATGTAGAACTTAGGAGACAGTTAGCATGACAAATGTTCACTGCCTACTAGCCCTATTTATTTCTAAGATTAGTTTTCTGGAATCGGGGATGAACTGCTAATCCTTTCCACCAAATATGTGGTATTATGATACGACCTACCTCTGTTGCATGGAAACCCTTTTCACCAAATATGGCTTTACGATACTACCCACCTCAATTGTACAAAAACCATTTCCATCAAATATGGAATTTTGGTACGACCTACCTCCATTGCATGGAAAACCTCCTAATAATGAACTACATTCACGACAAGCCCTAGGAGTCTCAATGTTCAGTATACTCATTACAATTTATTCCTTTTGGAGTCAATATTATCACTACTTGTGAAACTGGAAGTGCCATCACACTTCACATTATCACTTTTCGTTAGATTCCAACATGATCCTATGGTTTCTCACTTTCTAGAGTACATCTTTGTATCCTAAGTTTCATTACTATTTTCCTAACCTTAGTTAATATTATGGTTTCTTACACTTCTTGATTTTTTTAATACTTATTCTATTATACAACAAAACATAATTGATTAGGATTCTTAACCTAATTACCAGTGTTGTCTACCCTACATGTTATACATGTAAATTTTAACCATACAAAAATAAAGCATACAATTTACATGTATTTTCAATCATCCTATAGATAATTCAACATAAAATATTAATTTTCACTTCACGATAAAGTATAACTTTGAATTATCCTTCTGAAACAATTTCATGTGCCAAAATAAGAGTTCTGAAACTCAACTTATGGTGGTTTCCAACATGTAATTTGTTACCGAAATGGTGTAATCAATTACATGAAGCCAATGTCTCATTTTACATTAAATATTCACCAAGCAACATACATTTAAACTTTAATCATTTACTTCTCTATCATGTGCTATATGATCTTAGATTAATTCATTAATTTCAAAACTCGCCAATCTCTCGTGAAAAGAATAATAAATAATTCAATTTGAGGATTTATAAGGCATTTAATTAGTTACCTAATGGTGTAACTGTTTACATGCCTCTACTTACTCATGTATGGCCAATTCCCCAATGTGGTAACCGGGTACACCAAATACGTAACTAGTTACATGTCTGTTGTGACTTTCAAATGGGCCATTTTCACGAGTGGTAACTAGCTATACTCTATCATTAACTGGATACAAGCCTGTGCAGAACCGATTTCACTTCATTACTCACATTTTCTCCAATTCTACCAATATGCTATCATGTTCTAACATAGTATAAGGATAGGAAATATATCATAGGGGAACATGCAAGTAATCATTCATAAGGAACAAAAATGAAAGACATATTTTTCATGTATTCACACAAGTCAAACATGTAATCATAGATTATAATCTCATTTTCCCCTTGCTTTGTCCCTAATGGTTCTATTCCCAATTAAGTCCTAAGAACCCCAACTTAAAACCTAAATTTTGGAGAAAGAATGGAGATGGTGGTCTACTCTTGAAGCTTTTGATCAATTCAACTTTGATTCTTATTCTACTCACTCAATTTCACACGTGCAAAATGATGGAGTCAAACATTATTCTTCTTCTCCTTTTGCCCCACACGCTATTCTTTATTTTTTCTCTTAAAGCTCTCTATCAACTCAGATTTTTGAGACAATGGAATATATGGAAACTTTTTTTCTTCATTTTGACTTAGATACTAGCTTAGTGAAGTTACCAATTTTTCCTATCCATTTAAGTTAATTTACTAACTCATCTGTGTCGACTGAATTCCTAAGACCCACTGAACCACACATGCTAAAGGCCCAATAGCACGAGGTCCATTACACAACTTACTCTGCCAAGCCCAAGGTATAAAACCTTTGTAAAGGGTTTTAAGGTACATAATCTCTGAACTCCACTTTCATAACCTTCGATATTGAATCCTAAACTGACTTGGGTATTGGAATTCTAACCATACAATTACTCACTTTAGATCCACTATATCTGAGATAATAACATTATTTCACGACAACATATCAACATTAATACCATTGGTTTAAGAAGAACCATGATCATAACCTTTGATCCTCAGTGTCACATCAACATAGTGTATCAGAAGCTCCGATATGTTGTACTTTTTGCAATCATCACCATTTATGTTTCCACAACAGAGAAGTGGTGCCGTCTGTGAGAATCAACTTGCGATTCCTACAATTTCCATGATTTCACATTTGATCTACATATCTGACCTCCGAAGAGATCTCTGACGAGGAAACTAAATATTCACGAAGCCAAAATATAAGATTTGCACTATTTGGGTACACCGAACTCCGATCGGGTGTTGAAATAGAGGTTACACTAAGTTCTAGCCATCTTAAAACAGTTCCAACAGAAGCCTCGAGTCAATATCTCATATGGAAACATCCTAGCCGATGGGGAAAATTAGCCTCAAGTGTTGGGGAAAGCCAGTTGGTGGACACCTTCATATCTAGATTCAGATTAGCAAATCCGAGGTGTTGTACTGCCCTCGGCCGAGAAACATCAATGATGAGATCTCGCAAAGTATGCCCTACGTTAATTTTTATAAGTTGAATACAATAAGGTATTAAAGCTTAATTCCTTATGCAGTTAGGAATTTCCATAAGAGGAAATATTATATCATCAGCTTAGTTATAAGTCACACAAGTTATTTTATTAATTTTATAGAATTATTATGTTATTGTATGAAAACTTTATAATTAAAATATTAAATTAAGGTGAATCAACTTTCCAAAAAATTATAAGCACATTATATTAGAGAAACAATATATTAAATAATATTCTTAAATGAATACAAATATTTTTTAAATAAAATCTTAGATACAAGATGAATATAAAAACATCAAATAGAAATAACATAAATTATTATATCATGAATATATTGGCCTAGGCCCCGAGCTTTTTCTGATATCAAAATCAAGCAACAACCTTATGGTCTTGATCAACGACACCATCTGGAACAAACTTTGTCCAAAACCAATGAGACTTCCACACTTTATTCATTTCTTCAATTGGGACATTATTTGTCTCGGGAAAAAACATGACAATGAAAATTGTCATTATAAGAACAAAGCCAGCAAAGAAGAAGAAAATTCCAAACTTCAAGTGACAAAGCATAGTAAGAAAAACTTGAGCAATGAAAAAGGTGAACAACATGTTCACAGCAACATTGGTAGCTTGACCTGCAGAGCGAACCTCAAGAGAGCATATTTCACTAGGAACTAACCATCCCAATGGACCCCAAGACCATGCAAATGCGGAAACATACAAACATATGAAGAACAAAAGAAGATTAGCTTCAATATGTGTAAATGAGCCTTCACCGCTAACTCCAAACTTGATAGCAATCATGCTTCCAACAATAATCTACAATCAATAATCATAACATTTATATTATCTATTCTTGGAAAATGGATTAATTTTAATGGTAAATATAAAGAATTAATTATTAGTTAAGTTTCAATTTTCACCTGACAAATAAACATTTGGACACCACCTTCAAGAAACAAAATCTTTCTTCCAAACTTGTCCACAGTGAAGATGGAAACAAAAGTAGCAAGAACATTGACACCTCCGGTAATTACTGCAGACATGAGGGAAGCATTGTTTCCAAAGCCCAAAGTTTTGAAAAGGACAGGGGCATAAAACATGATAACATTGATGCCTGTGAGTTGCTGGAAGAATGGAATAAGAGAGCAAAATGTTAGTTGAGGTCTGTATCTCAATTGTGTAATATTCTTCCACGGATGTTCCACCTTTTTGGCTTCCTCACTAGCATCAATTAGATCTTGGAACTCCTCATCGACATTATCAATGCCACGAATATTTTGCAACATTTTCTTAGCTCCTTCTTTTTGTCCCCTTTCAATCATAGAGTTTGGCGTGTCACCTAAGAAAAAAGATCCTATACACAACAGAATTGCAGGGACAGCTCCGATACCCAAAGAAATTCTCCATCCACTCTCAAGATTAGAAGTAAAGTAGTTGATAATGTTTGCCCCTAGGATTCCAATAGTGATCATCATTTGGAAGCCCATGTTGAGCGCACCTCTAATCTTTGCTGGAGCCATTTCAGACAAATACACTGGAACTGACTGTTTATGAGTAACAAAAAATGATATGCAATTAGACTTGCGATTTTTTTATCCTTTATACATAAAAACATAGAATCATAAAAACAATACTGGATTTTACCTGATTACAATATCCTACACCAAAACAAAGTTATAGGCGACCAATGATAAGCATTTCAATGTTGACAGCAAAACCATTGAGCAATGCACCAATAAGGAAAAACAAGCCACCTACAAACATTGAGGCCTTGCGTCCTAACATTCTTGTAGTTGTGGAAGCAAAGAAAGAAGCTATTAAAGCCGCAAGGTACAAGGAAGATGTGAACAAAGTAAGGAGCTCGTTGTCAAATTTGCAATATTGGCTCTCGTGTCCAGATTCATCTTTCATTTGTTTGTAAACACCAGGAAAGAATTTAACCAAAAATGGTTCCATGGAAGTCACTCCTCCTGTAATACCAAGATCATAACCAAAAAGTAGACCCCCCATGGCCGCCACCAAACATGTGACCAAAACAAACATTGTAACCTTTCCTTCATATTGCCTTCCATTTGTTGAAGCAACTAAAACTCCACCCGCCATCGTTTAAATTCGTATATCTTAAAATTTAGATATTTCTAAGATGAAGAGTTGTGCTGAATTTCTTTCTATACCTATTAGATGTTAAAATTTATGAATATTTTATAGTGTCATTAATTTCTAATAAGATGACAATAAATCGTTACAAACATACAATTTTTCAACAATATATCAATTTAGTATTTCTAATTGGTTGTATCCTTGTAATTTACTAAGTTATGAGCATTATTTTGCTAGATTTGGTGTCAACAAACTATTATAAGAATTTGGGATAAGAGATAATTCTTGTTTTGAAATATCAAACTAAATGAGAGGATAAATATCGTTAAATAACTCTCAAATGACACTATATAAATCTATTTATAGTATAATGAAACAAGTAATTGAAAATTTAGTTGAATCTTATTTTATTATAAAAATAATTTGTCGTTAAGTTTATAAGAGTATTTTAATGTAAATTAGTTTACTATCTCTTAAATTTTAAACTTACTTTTAATTTAGTTTGTTTAAATTAATAATCAAAGATATAAATCCTTTTTTTGTGACTTAATATATGAAATCATTTTTTAAAGCCATTTGAATTTGAATCTATTTTAAATTTATTTTTCTAAAAATTATTTTTGAGATATTTCTTTTTAGAAAACTAGGTTAACTTTAATTACAATAAATTATAAGTAATGAATATTATATTACCACATGTTAAAATTACTTATTTAGTTTATTAAAAATGAGTTTGAAACAATTTATACTATTTTTCAAAAAATATTCTTATAAAAATTATTTTGAAAATGTGAAAATAAAACTTATTTAAAACTTAGAATGGACATTTCCATTATTCCTACAAAAATCTTTATGATTTTTTAGTTATTAAATATATTAAGTGTTTAATTGATTTTTTTATATTATCTTATCATTTATTATAGTACATAATTAACTAATTTTTATTTAGTTATTATCACTCGAGATTTTGTAGAAATCACTCAGACCCTATTTCTCCATGGTAATTTTCCACTTCGATTTTGGAGAGATGTTGTGCTAACTGCATGTTATCTTATAAATCGCATGCTATCATCTATCCTTAATAATAAAATCCCTCATTCAATCCTTTTTCCCCATTCCCCCTTCACCCAATTCCTTCCCGAGTCTTCGGGTCTACATGTTTTGTACACAATCTCTCTTCTGGTCTTGATAAACTATCAGCTCGACCACTATAGTGTGCTTTTCTTGGTTATCATCAATCCAAAAAAGGTTATCGTTGCTATTCACATACCTTACAACGATACCTCATGACAGGTAATGTCATCTTATTCGAGTCTGTTCCATATTTTGAGTCCAGCCTAGTAACTCCGGAACCCTTTCAGGAGAGTACTCCCACACCTCTTCCAGAAGTCCCATATGTCATTATTCCCCATCATTCTAGGGAACCTGACCCACTAGATAACCCTACGGTTAACCCCCCCCCCCCCGATTTCTCGTCCACTTCAAACATATCAACGTCATCAACCAACGCCTATCATATCTGTCCCTGAGATCATACATGTCCCTGAGGTCATACATGTCCCTGAGGTCATTGCAAATCTCCTCCGACGCTCTCGCCATCACCGTAATTGATCCTGTAACCCGATTCTGATCTTCCGATTACTCTTAGAAAAGGTATACGTCAAACACGAAATCCTTCTCCATATTATATTGATTTATGTTATCATCGTCTTTCCCCTTTGCAGTATACTTGTTTGTCTTCTTTGTCTTCTGTTTGTATTCCTAACACTCCAGGTGAAGCATTATCTCACCCTGAGTGGAGGCAAGCAATGATTGATGGAATGTGTGCTCTTCAAAGCATTGTTACCTAGGAACTGGTTCCTCTACCCCGGGGAAATCTTTAGAAGGTTTTTGTTGGCTTTATACAGTGAAAGTTAGTCCAGATGGTAAAATTGATCGATTTAAAGCTTGCTTGGTAGCCAAAGGATACACTCAGTTTTTTGGATTAGATTATAGTGATACCTTCTCACTTGTAGCCAAGATGGAATCTGTTAGACTTCTTCTAGCCATTGCAGCCATTCGGCATTGGCCTCTTCATCAACTTGACATAAAAAATGCATTTTTACATGGTGATCTTGAAGAGGAGAAATATATGGAGCAAACACCTGGGTTTTTTGCTCAGGGGAAGTCATCGAATATGATTTGTAGGTTACACAAGTCTCTTTTTGGTCTTAAACAATCTTCAAGAGCTTGGTTTGGCAGATTCAGCACTGTAGTAAAACAATTTGGTATGGTCCGTAGTGAAGCTGACCATTCCGTCTTTTATCATCACTCAACCCAAGGGTGTATTTATCTTATTGTGTATGTATATGGAATTGTCATAACTATTAGAGATGATCAGGGAATACTCCAGTTGAATCAACATCTCTCGAATCAATTTCAGACAAAAGATCTTGGTAAACTCCGATATTTCTTGGGTATTAAGATAGCTCAACCTAAAGATGATTTGGTGATTTCTCAGCGGAAATATGATATGAATATTTTGGAAGAAACATGGATGTTGAGAGGTAAACCAGCTGATACTCCTATGGATCCAAGTTTCAAACTACTATCCAATCAGGGGAGCCTCTATCAGACTCGGGAAGGTATACAAGATTGGTTGGAAAGTTGAATTATCTCATAGTCACTGTCCAAACCTTTCTTTTGTAGTCAATGTGGTAAGTCTGTTCCTAAATTTCCCTTGTCAGAAACACATGGATGCTGTTATCTGGATTATGAGATACATCAAATGTGCTCCAGGAAAAGGTTTAGTGTATGAAGATAAATGACATACTAATATTGTTGGATACTCCGATGCTGATTGGGTGGGATCACCAATTGATAGATGACCCACCTCTGGGTATTATGTACTTGTTGGAGGAAACCTCATAACTTAGAAAAGTAAGAAACAAAATGTAGTTGCAAGATCAAGCTCCGAGACAGAGTATAGATCTATAGCGATGGCAACATGCGAACTTTTTTGGTTAAAATAGTTGCTCAAGGAACCTAAAATTGAAGAAGCAAGACCAATGGCACTTATTTATGATAATCATGTACCATTTCACATTACTTCAAATCCAGTCTTTCATGGGCGGAACAAACATATTGAGATTGACTGTCACTTTGTCAGAGAGAAGATCGAGTTAGGCGACATCACCACAAGCTTTGTAAACTTGAATGATCAATTGGCATATGTGTTTACAAAATCTCTGTGAAGTCCCAGATGGAGGCTTAACCCTAGATGTATCACTATCAGGATTATGACTAATAACAATAACATAATCTCCAGAACACCTAGCAAAAGCACCACGATCACCAACATGGTGTTCAATGTTACAAATCACAACTCCTTCAGGAATAGACCTAACCGGCAAAACATTACCAATAACAAGCATAGCTTTCTTCTCGCAATAAATAACCTACCCAGTGTATAATCCTTCAGCAACAACAAAAATCTCATTCTGTTTCTTATACCTAAATGGGTGACGGGAAGTGATCATGGAAAGAGGTGCACCATGACCTGGGTCGTGGATGATGTAGGTGATTACTCCCTTGAGGTAGTCATTTCTTTCGCCGAAATCGAGACTGCGAGATCTAGTGGGGCCTTTATGATGGTGGGTGTGGGATTTGAAGATCGATCCCGCACCTTTACTTTGTACCCTGATAACCCTACCCATACAATATATGGCTTGAACATGACTTTTTAAGTGGGAGTAATCCTCACCTTACAAGTCAGTTTTGTAGGATCGAGTTAGGCCTAATCACACATTCTAAGAATTACATTCATACCATAATAATACTTTCATACACACAAACATCCACTTTACAAATATTTATGTTTATTATGTGGTATTATAGTCTATGTATAATTTGTAGTAGTTTATTTAATAGTCTTTCATAGGATAAAATTCTCATTATTGATTAAAAAATTCACATGAAAATTTCATGATAAATGTAACACCCTGAATAATATGCATCTAGAATCGTAATATTTGCAATGTTATATCTGGTATTGAGTACAAATAAAAGTCTAACTACCAATAAAATGCACAACAAAAGCACAAAATAGATATCATGGTCTTCAAATTCTTTACAACAACTTTCCTTTTCCTTTGAACCACGCCCACTTATCAGAAATATTAAACATGAGTTGAGATACAACTATCTCAAATGGAGTCCTAACAAAACCATAAGTCTACTCGGCCAAAAGGTTTATAAAACTATCATCATGTTAATAATACTATACTCGAGTATTAGATAAGTAAAACAAAGAGGAAACAAAATTCATCCAACTTCACACCAATGATAAAAGTTTATACCTGAGCTTCCCAAGTCATGTAGAACTTAGGAGACAGTTAGCATGACAAATGTTCACTGCCTACTAGCCCTATTTATTTCTAAGATTAGTTTTCTGGAATCGTGGATGAACTGCTAATCCTTTCCACCAAATATGGTTTTATGATACGACCTACCTCTGTTGCATGGAAACCCTTTTCACCAAATATGGCTTTACGATACTATCCACCTCAATTGTACGAAAATCATTTCCATCAAATATGGAATTTTGGTACGACCTGCCTCCATTGCATGGAAAACCTCCTAATAATGAACAACATTCACGAAAAGCCCTAGGAGTCTCAACGTTCAGTATACTCATTACAATTTATTCCTTTTGGAATCAATATTATCACTACTTGCGAAACTGGAAGTGCCATCACACTTCACATTATTACTTGTCGTTAGATTCCAACATGATCCTATGGTTTCTCACTTTCTATAGTACATCTTTGTATCCTAAGTTTCATTACTATTTTCCTATCCTTAGTTCATATTATAGTTTCTTACACTTCTTGATTTTTTTATACTTATTCTATTATACAACAAAACATAATTGATTAGGATTCTTAACCTAATTACCAGTGTTGTCTACCCTACATGTTCTACATGTAAATTTTAACCATACAAAAATAAAGCATACAATTTAC